CGCCCAGAGCCCCCAGCCCACGGGAGCTGCAGTGTCATTGTGCTCGCACCCTCGTTCTTTATTCTCCTCGTTGCGGCTCAGGAACCTCTGGGTGATGGAGGCAGGGCTGGGGGTGGGGGGACCTTGAATCTTTTGCTGCTCATGCACAGCGTGCTGGCCAAGGGGTTGGGGAACTGGAGCTGCTTCCTGCCTGGGGCCCATTCACTGGCCCGTCTCCCACGCTGCGCCTTTCGCTCCCTGACCAGCCCCCTGGCTCCACAGCAGTCTGCTGCAAAACGTTGGCTTCTGTGGGGCCAGGATTTCACCCACTGTCCTTAAAACACCTCTGTGGGCCGGAACGTGGGGGCTTCACCCCTCCCAGGCTGCCTTCCCCTCTTGCCTGCTTTTCCCTGGCAGAGCCGTTCCCTTCCGGCCCATGGCTCAGTGTGGCTGGGCGAGGGGCGGTCTCCCTGTGGGCCAGGTGTCATGGCAGGTGCAAGTGCCAGCTAAGAGACTCAGGCCAGTACAGCCCCAGCCGAATCATCCCCCAGAGACAGGCTATTGCTCAGGCACTTGGTTGGCTCCAGCAGCTGCCTGCCCAGCGGGGTGGGTGGGGGTGTGTGTGTGTGTGGGTGTGTGTGTGTGTGTGTGTGTAGGTAGGAGGGACTGATGGGGGCTCTTGGCTCTCTTCCAGCTGCCAGCCTCGCCCTTGCCCTGAACGGGGTCTTCACAAATGCTGTGAAACTCGTCGTGGGCAGGTAAGAACAGCCAGGAATTACCAACCCTGGGCCCCAGCTGGACTTCAGGGGTGGACAGCCCAGCTTGCCTGTGTGGCTGTATTTTCCCAGGTCCCTTTGGGGGGAAGCGCAGGGACAGGTGGGGGAATCTCTCAACCACAGAGCAGGGCCCTGACTCGTGTGGGGACAGGGCAGGCCCCCGGGGCTTGTGCCAGGGCGAGCATCCCTGCGTGCTCTCGGCAGTGCCCTAGGCTCTTGGAGCAGGATGTGGTCACTGTAGCTCATTCACTCCCCTCTGCCGGTGCGGGGGTAGCTGCTGGGCGATCACAGGGCCTAGGGCTGGAACCCCCCAGGCTGCTGAGCAGCTGTGGGATGGCCGTGCTGCCTTCCACACAGGCGCGTTCAAGTCTCCTGGAGCTGAAGGGCTCCCTCGCCCCTTCTAGGGGGCTGTGCTGGGGGGATTGCAGAGCTGGCGGGTGTCTGATCAACCCAGGCCACTGCTAAGAGTCTCCCCCCGGCAGGGCCCCATGCTTTGCTTCTCTGCCCCGTTAGGCCACGGCCGGATTTCTTCTACCGCTGCTTCCCGGACGGAGTGGCCAACGCCGAGCTGGTGTGCACTGGCGACCCGACCGTGGTGACTGAGGGACGCAAGAGCTTCCCGAGCGGGCATTCCTCCTGTAAGCACGGGTTTCTTGTTCATAGTGCTGCACTGCAGAACCAGACAGGAGAGCAGATGCCAGGGAGGGAGGGATCGCCTTCGCCACTGCCTCGCCGTATGGCCTGGGTCATGCTCACTGACTTCTTGCCAGGCCTCGCTTTTGCCTCTGAGTATGGAGGTGCACAGAGCTCCAGGTGTCAGTACTACATTGCAGCCTCTGACTTGCCTGGTGCCCTTTCAGGACAAGCTCCTGAACCCCTCTTGACAATGGATGGCCCCTGAGCTGGGGGAGGGGGTGTATCTGCTGGGGCTCTTGCAAGGTGGGTTCCTAAGTGGTGTGAATTTCCCCCCTTTTTTCCCAGTTGCCTTCGCTGGCCTGGCCTTCTCCGCCTTCTACCTGGCAGGAAAGCTGCACTGCTTTGCCCCCAGCGGGCGCGGAAAGTCCTGGCGCCTCTGTGCCTTCCTGTGCCCCCTGCTGGGTGCCCTCCTCGTCGCTCTGTCCCGCACCTGCGACTACAAACACCACTGGCAAGGTGAGCGTGCCCAGAGCCCGGGGTGATGGGCAGCCTGTGAGGCCTTGGGGCGGAAGCATGGGCCGCTGATGCCCCGGGCGCAGTATGGGGAGGGGTGCTTCTGAAAGAAAGGAGTCGCGTCTGGGCTTGTGGCCTCTCACGCTCTCTGGGCCATAAGCCCCGAAGCAGAGGGCTCGCAGAGCGAGGTGTGTGCTGCCAGCGCCAGGTCTGCGGCTTATGGACAAGCCCATTGAACTCGGTGGGGCTTTCAGCTCCGCTGCGCGTCCTGCCTGCAGCTCTGCCCCGGGCTGGCACTTCCTGGCCATGTAAAATCCCTTCTAATTAACCGGTTAACTGTTAAGTTTACCCAGTGTCGGGAAGGGGCTGGAGCGGCCCCCCTGCCTGCCGCGGTCAGGGGCTGCTCCAGCCTCACTGGTTAACTGGAACCGGAGTGAGGCTTCCTGGCTAACCGTTAACAGTCCATGGGAGAGCGTATTTGGGGAGTGCTGCCGGACTGGCCTTGGCGCTGCATGGTGCCATTTAGAGCTCTGAACGGCCGTGGCTTTGCCTGTCCCCACAGGACCTGAGCAGCGCTCCGGGGGCTTCGCGGAGCCGGTGCCGCAAGCCGGGGGTCAATCACCCTTTTGTTTCCACCCACAGATGTGCTGGCCGGCTCCGTGATTGGTGCCACGTTTGCGTACCTGTGCTACCGGCAGCATTACCCGCCCCTGACTGACCCCGAGTGCCACAAGCCGTGGCCGTCCAAACCAGCAGCAGCCCAGGAGCTAACACGGACCAGCTCCAGCTTCTGCCTGGACGTCTGATGATGGGATCCACGTTGCAGGCAACGGCCCGGCCTTGCTTCAGCCTCAGGGCAGGGTGCGGCTCGGGGACCAAGGCTCTCGGCCTGCTGGGCGAGGTAGTGGAGTAATTGCTTCCCCTGTGGATGTGGTCAGCGGGGCTGCTCTGTCAGGCCAGCCCCGGGGAAGCTGCAGAAGTGATCCTGCTGCTGCAGGAGGGAGGGGACAGGCTGCCTGGCTTGGGGTGAGTCCGGTGGCCACCCTGGCTGGTGCAGGAATGAGCAGGGCAGTCAGCCCTCTCCCGGCGAGCTCACAGGAAGAGCCTTTTACCGTCCCTGCTGTGTGTGCGAGTCCCCAGCCCTGCGCGTGTGCGTTTCCAGGTGGCCCAGGGTGGGCACAGTACGTGCGGCTTGGTCCAACAGGGGGTCTGCCCCAGCAGGCCCTGAGTTGTTTTCCTGGGGAGGCACCATGGTGGGTTTGCTCCCCCCCTTTTGTAAATACTTTCCCGGCTGGAACCTGGCCCTCAGTCACACACAGGATCGCTGGGTCTTCCTCAGCGCCTGCGTTCCCACCTCCTCCTGTGGCAAGGCCAAGATCAGCCCCGTCAGGCCAGGACGCCATCGGCCGGGCATGACCGCCTTGTACCACAAGGGCATTTCGCCTGTGGCCCCCTTGCAAAGAGTAACGGCTGACCTGAGGGGTGGGAGAAGACACTGAAGTGTTTCAGGGCTTGTCTCCACTTACCAGATCGATCTTCCGGGGTTTGATCTAACAGGCCTAGTAAAGACCTGCCAAATCAACCACCGATGGTGCCTTGGGACAGCATGCAACGGGGTTGCAAGGAGTAAGAGAAGTTGAAGGGAGAGTTTCTCCCAGCTACCTCCTTCTGCGGGGATGCCGTGGGCACTCTACCTAAGGCACGTTGACTCCAGCTATGCTATTCCTGTCGCTGAAGTTGCGTATCTCAGGTCGACTTTCTCCCCTCTGGCCTTACATTCACTGTCAGCCTGGAAGAACAGGGCAGTGAGATGGTGTGATCCATGGGCTTACTGCTTGTAAGGGGGCAGGTGTTGCTCCAGCTGTAACTGCAGCATCTTTCTGTGTAGGATGTTTCCCTGTGGACCTACTGAGCAATCTGCATTCCTGTTTCATAGGAAATACGTTAATTTCAAACGCACTTTACACTGTGGTTGGAAAAAACACACAGTCCTTCAACTGCTGATTGAGCCATGCTAAGTCCTGGGGCATGCGTACTGTACTGCCTGTTAATCCAGAGTACTCAAGAGTCTGGACTCAGCCTTGTTGAAGTTTTTGGCAAGCTTGGGAAACCAACATAGTACGGGAATCACGTCACTTACTGGGTTGCTTACTGTCAAATAAAGAGCTGGTTTTAATTTGGTGAAACAAGCGAGATTCCATTTTGGCCCTAAAGACCATCAGTCTTGATGCAGCCGGCTCATTTTACATTGAGTAGGTCCAGTTTTGCCTGCCCTTGATTAGCCGTTCTAGGTACGGGGTTTGCACCAAGAACAGATGAGTCAGTAGCAAATGACATTTGTGTCTTCACAAAGGTTGAAAGAGGGACTGGTAAGGCAAGTGTGCTCTGACACAGGGTTTGGTTCTGTTGAAGGCTCCAGCTGTCTGAAATCTCACCATACAAGAAAGCAGCAGTCATTTCTTTACAGTAACCTTCAAAAGTGCCAGCTGGACGCCACTGCTTGGCCTGTTTCAGACACAGCTGAAGGACGTACCAAGCGGGGGGGTGAGGCTTCTTTTAGAATTGGGCATCTCCTTGTTCTCTGCTCCTGAGGACTGGAGCAAGATGGGAAAAGAGGCTGAATTGTGGGCGTTTTTGAAAAACTCTTATCCTGACAGCACATGCTCTCCTGCTGTAAGGCAGGCGCTCTGCCTAAGGAGACCTGTCTAGTTGGTGCTGCTGCTTAGATCTGTTTCTCCTATGACACCTGGCCGCCAACGGCTCCTCCTGGGAATTACACCTGCTGTACTTTGCCATGGAGGTAGGTCCCAAAACAGTAAGTTCTCAGACTCCTGCCCCTCCCCCACAAACAGCCACTGCCGCCAGAGATTTACGGCTGTATTGACGGGAAAAAGACATTAAATAACAGTTTTAAATGTATTGAAATGTTTTACACAAAGTGCATAACTTGAAGAGCTGGTCGTGACCGCCGTGTGAAACCCATTTCCTTCGTATGGCCCGCCAGGTGCTGGGCTCCACGGGACACGGCTGCCCAGAGCCAGCCCTGAGCTCTCCTGTAGGGAGCAGGGCGGAGAATCCAAAATGCATGTAAATAAATAGTGCTCACACCGAGGGAAACAAACACGCTCCTTATGCTGGATGGACTCAAGCCAGCAAGAGGGGAAACAAGGTTGGGGCCACGTCCAGACCCCAGCCCAGCCCCCCTCCACCCTCCCCTCTTTC